CCCCAAAACCCCAAAACCCCAAAACCCCAATTTTATCTCAGGTTGTTGAAAAATATTTAAAAATAAGAAAACTCGAATATTTATATATTTTATTAAAATGAAACAAAGCGTTATTTTCGAAAGTTGTTTCAAAATAGTGGTGCTACTTACTATGGTTAGCCCTTGAATGTGAGCTGATGGAAAGTGATCATCAGACATCGATAAGCTTAACGGAGCCTACATCCATCAGTACATTTACCAAGGAGACACTAACAGGTAAAGTTTATTTAGCTCAAAACTAATTTTCTAGGCTAAGTAGTAACATCATCATATCCTCCAACGGGCTACATACATATGGAAGTGATGAAGGATCCGTAAATGCAGTGACTCCCACTGATTTCTCGAACACGGTCTTTTATAAAAGGACCCAAGACCTAGAACTAGTCTGGAGCAGACAGTATAATATTGTGGTGGAGCCTGGAGCAATGGATCTCGGAAACTCTGACACCATTTATTTCACGAAGTACTCTTCATCAGATTGTTATGTAGGCAAACTGTCATCCTCGGATGGCTCAATATTAGCTTACTCACAACTCGACTCAGCTGTGAAGTCATGAAACTTCATTGCTGTATCCAAAGATGAGAATTACGTATATGTTGGATCTAACAATAATGGAGACCCAAATTATATAATTGAGCTAACATCAAGCACCCTCTCATTTTCGTTTGCAATGGACCAAAGCACAAGCATCCTTTTTGATTTGAATGCAATAACTTTGGGAGGAAACTCCAGAAGTCTATTTACAATCAGTCATCACGGCACTGAAAATACTGTGTTCTCAACTCTAACATTTCCATCAACAAGCGTAGTGAATGCAAAGAAATTTAGCTGAACCGTATGATCTACATCCCCCTCAGCTAAAACTTATTTAACATCTGAGAACATAGCATACATCAACTTTATCAACGAGGCTCGTGAGTTATTCTTTGTGATCGATCTATCATCTATGGCTCTTAATCATGCATTTTCCCAAGCATCTGCTCAAACTAGTGCACAGGTCACATCTATTGGCATTTTAAGCGAAGTTTCTAAAATTTTCATGACCAGTTACCACTCTCTCGGGACTATACTAAGATTTTTTGATATGAATACAAATACGTTTTCTCAGGCATATTCAACTGTGGGCAAGTCTTTGCTGAGCGGAACAAGTTATGGAGGATTCATCTATATTGGGAATCAGCAAGCTGGAAATAACGCTGTGCTTAATAAACTCAATTACAATGACGAAATTATCAAATCAGTTCTTATCCAACCGGCAGTTGTAGATTTAGCTGTAGATGGAACACTGTCATTAGGAAGTCCGTCGATAACTGTGAATGACCAAAGCTCAGGAAGAACTTCTACTGTATCGTCAATAACTTCCTCAATACCAACCATCAATTACATGAGCCAACAGACTCTTCCGTTAAACTACAATGCAGGTTCTTTTGTGAAAGTGTATGCTTCTCAGAATACAGTGTCATCAATTAAAATAAACATGCCTTGCATCTCAGATAATTCGATTGGAGGTATCGCGACTGGGATGACTAGTTATTTCAACGGTAGTTTATCTCCAATATGGGTCGTCTCTAACCCAGATCTTTCAGGACTGATAGTCACTGCTCCAATAGTATTTCCAGCAGATGAAGTCAGCCATTACATCGGCATCAACTTTGTTTATTCAGGAAACACATACACTCAATACAATGAGTTAGTGATTCACCAATGCTATGTCTCTAATTGTGAGAGATGAGAGTACAACACAAAGTACACGAAATGAACAGCCTGTAGGCCAGGCCACGCTCTTTCTCTTGATGAAACAAGATGCGATCAAGAGTTCCTCCCAGTCCAACCCTTAAGTTTAGCAACTCAGGGATTTATTGGAGTTGGAGTCGGGGCAGGAGCTACTTCTTCTCTTACTTCTACAGCTTCTTCAGCTCAAGGATTTTGGGCTCTGATAAATCAGTATCAACTATATCTTCTATTTCCGTTCCTTAAAATATACATGCCTTCTGACTTGGAGTATTATCTCACAGAATTTGAGATATTCAGTTTTAATTTTGGATTTATTGACGTGGTAGAGGTTCCTTATATTAATGATCTCATCGAAAAGCTTGATTATAGCCAGAATAGCGAAATATACAGCAACAATGGATATAGTTCTGGTGCTTTTGCTGTCAATTACACTAGCATGTTCACAGCTCTCTTCATTGTGTTCATCTGAAACATAATTTTCATTCTGTTCTATGCTATCTTTTCGAAAGCAAGAAAAGGAGGAAGATGTAAATAAAATATTTGACTGGTTCACAGGTTTCTTCTACCTCACAACATACATTAGGACTGTCATCGAAGCAAGTCAGTTTGCATTTATGGGAGCTCTTTTGGAAGCGACTACATTTGATTCCTTTAATGATCACACAGTGTCATACTTGATTTCACTGGTATTCACAGTCTTCATGATTACAATGCCCGTTCTTGTGTATCTGTACTATCGGAAGAAAAATGGCCAAGTCGGAGAAACTCTCTTCAACGAATTTTATGATGGGACTAAAGATAAGAAAATTGCTAAGCTTTTCATCATCTTTTTCTTCATAAGAAGATTTACGACGGTTGGAGTTCTTGTGTGTCTCAGAAATACCAACGGTATTCTTAGATGAGCTATCTTCGTGCCTATCCAGCTAGCATACTTGGTTTATTTTGTGACTGTGAAGCCTTTCGAAGACAACAAAGATAACATCATTGAGATCTTGAACGAGTCGATATTCTCAGCCTTGTCAATATTCCTATCCATTTTCCAAGATGAATCAATGTGGGTAGATGGAATGAGTTCAGCTGTCATCATATTGGTAATGGCCAATGGGTTCTTGATTTCTATTGTGTTGATCGTCAACAATATTATCGGCATTGTCAAATGGTGAAAAGAGAGAAAAAGTAAAAAGAAAGTTTTAGTTGAAGATACCTCTGTTAAAGTTAAAGTTGGAAATCCCCAAAACAGTTTTGATAAAGCTTCCTTGCACAGATCATCTAGTCGCAACAACTCAGATGAGAAGTAATTGCTATACTTTATATTTTAGAGTAAATATTTATACCAACAAAGATTTTTTAAAAGAAGAAACAAAGCAAGAAGTTAACTTGAGCGAAATGAGTAAGAACAGATGTAAGCATATCTTTATTTTACATGCTTTACTAATCTTTTTATAGTAGGAGATGACAAGAAAGTCTAAGAAATAGAAAACAGTTAATCTTTTAAAAAGTCCAAAAATTTCTGAGGAAATTAAAATCTTCAAAAATTTCTGATAATTATTCAAAAATGTGTTATTTCAAATATAGAATAAGCTTTCCATTTTTAGAAGTAATCCAAAATCTCTAGTTACTTCTAACATAGTTTACTAGTCTCCTTTAGCTTACACAGACAACAGCATTGGCCATTGCGATCCTTCTGGGATAAGAACGTGAAATATCTTAGAAAAGGTGCTCCATTATGTTAAAATAGCAATGGGACGTATTAAGTGAAACTGTAAATATTGGGATTTCAATCTATTCTCAAGGAAAAGGGGTTTTGGGGTTTTGGGGTTTTGGGG